GTCCCTGAGTAACAATTCTCTGGCACTCAGTAACAATTCTGTCTGTCCCTGAGTAAAAAATTCTGTGGCCCTAAGTAAAGTTTCTGTGGCCCTGAGTAACAATTCTCTGGCACTCAGTAACAATTCTGTCTGTCCCTGAGTAACAATTCTCTGGCACTCCGTAACAATTCTGTCTGTCCCTGAGTAACAATTCTCTGGCACTCAGTAACAATTCTGTCTCTGTCCCTGAGTAAAAATTCTGTGGCCCTAAGTAAAGTTTCTGTGGCCCTGAGTAAACAATTCTCTGGCACTCTGTAACGAGTAACAATTCTGTCTGTCCCTGAGTAACAATTCTCTGTGCACTCTAGTAACAATTCTGTCTGTCCCTGTCCCCTGAAAAATTCTGTGTCTGGCCCTAAGTAAAATTTTCTGTCCCCTAGTAACAATTCTCTGTCCGTGCACTTCTCTGTAAGTAACAATTCTGTCTGTCCCCTGAGTAACAATTCTGTGGCCCTAACAACAATTTCTGTGGCCCCTAAGTAACAATTCTGTGGCCCTGAGTAACAATTCTGTGTCCCTGAGTAACAATTCTGTCTGGCCCTAGTAACAATTCTGTGGCACTCAGTAACAATTCTGTCTGTCCCTGCGAGTAACAATTCTGTGGCCCTAAGTAAAAATTAAGTCTTCTGTGGCCCTAGTAACAATTCTCTGGCACTCAGTAAACACAATTCTGTCTGTCCCTGAGTAACAATTCTCTGGCACTCAGTAACAATTCTGTCTGTCCCTGAGTAAAAATTCTGGGCCCTAATTAAAGTTTCTGTGGCCCTAAGTAACAATTCTCTGGCACTCAGTAACAATTCTGTCTGTCCCTGAGTAACAATTCTCTGGGCCCTAAGTAACAATTTGTGGCGACTCAGTAACAATTCTGTCTGTCCCTGAGTAACAATTCTCTGTGGCACTCAGTAACAATTCTGTCTGTCCCTGAGTAAAAAATTCTGTGGCCTAAGTAAAGTTTCTGTGGCCCTGAGTAACAATTCTCTGGCACTCAGTAACAATTCTGTCTGTCCCTGAGTAACAATTCTCTGGCACTCAGTAACAATTCTGTCTGTCCCTGAGTAACAATTTCTGTCAGTAATAAAATTCTGTGTCCCTGAGTAAAAATTCTGTGGCCCTAAGTAAAGTTTCTGTCTGGCCCTAAGTAACAATTCTCTGGCACTCCGTAACAATTCTGTCTGTCCCTGAGTAACAATTCTCTGGGCACTCAGTAACAATTCTGTCTGTCCCTGAGTAAAAATTCTGTGGCCCTAGTAAAGTTTCTGTGGCCCTAAGTAACAATTCTCTGGCAAACAATTCTGTCTGTCCCTGCAATTCTCTGGCACTCAGTAACAATTCTGTCTGTCCCTGAGTAACAATTCTCTGGCACTCTAAGTAACAATTCTGTCTGTCCCTGAGTAAAAGTTCTCTGGCACTCAGTAACAATTCTGTCTGTCCCTGAGTAACAAATTCTGTGGCCCTAAGTAACAATTTCTGTGGCCCTGAGTAACAATTCTCTGGCACTCCGTAACAATTCTGTCTGTCCCTGTATGAATTCTGAGTAACAAATTTCTGTGGCCCTAAGTAAAGTTTCTGTGGCCCTCAGTAACAATTCTGTGTCTGTGCGAGTAACAATTCTGTGTCTGTGCGAGTAGTAACAAATTCTGTGGCCCTAAGTAAAGTTTCTGTGGCCCTAAGTAACAATTCTCTGGCACTCCGTAACAATTCTGTCTGTCCCTGAGTAACAATTCTCTGGCACTCAGTAACAATTCTGTCTGTCCCTGAGTAAAAAATTTGTGGCCCTAAGTAAAGTTTCTGTGGCCCTGAGTAACAATTCTCTGGCACTCCGTAACAATTCTGTCTGTCCCTGAGTAACAATTCTCTGGCACTCAGTAACAATTCTGTCTGTCCCTGAGTAAAAATTCTGTGGCCCTAAGTAAAGTTTCTGTGGCCCAGAGTAACAATTCTCTGGCACTCCGTAACAATTCTGTCTGTCCCTGAGTAACAATTCTGTGGCCCTAACTAACAATTCTTTGTCCCTAAGTAACAGTTCTGTGGCCCTGAGTAACAATTCTGTGTCCCTGTGCGAGTAACAATTCTGTGGCCCTAAGTAACAGTTCTGTGGCCCCTCAGTAACAGTTCTGTGTCTGTGCGAGTAACAATTCTGTGTCTGTGCGAGTAACAATTCTGTGGCCCTAAGTAACAGTTCTGTGGCCTTCAGTAACAATTCTGTGTCTGTGCGAGTAACAATTCTGTGTCTGTGCGAGTAACAATTCTGTCTGTCTGTGGCCCTAAGTAAAACAATTCTGTGGCCCTAAGTAACAATTCTCTGGCACTCAGTAACAATTCTGTCTGTCCCTGAGTAACAATTCTCTGGCACTCAGTAACAATTCTGTCTGTCCCTGAGTAAAAATTCTGTGGCCCTAAGTAAAGTTTCTGTGGCCCTAAGTAACAATTCTCTGGCACTCAGTAACAATTCTGTCTGTCCCTGAGTAACAATTCTCTCTGGCACTGAGTAACAATTCTGTCTGTCCCTGAGTAAAAATTCTGTGGCCCTAATTAAAGTTTCTGTGGCCCTAAGTAACAATTCTCTGGCACTCAGTAACAATTCTGTCTGTCCCTGAGTAACAATTCTCTGGCACTCAGTAACAATTCTGTCTGTCCCTGAGTAACAATTCTGTGGCCCTAATAACGTTTCTGTGGCCCTAAGTAAACAATTCTCTGGCACTGAGTAACAATTCTGTCTGTCCCTGATTATGAATTCTGTGGCCCTAACTAGCGTTTCTTTGTCCCTAAATAACGATTCTGTGGCCCTCATTAACAAGTCTGTGTCCCTGAGTAATGGTTCTCTGTCCCTAAGTAACTTTTCTCTGTCCCCAATTATCGTTTCTGTGGCCCTAACTCTGTCCCTGTCCCTAGTACAGAGCGGTCTGCCTCTGTTCAATAACTGCAGGCAAATGAAGAATTCCAAAATGGCCGCTATTTATAGCTCGACCATTACACAGTGCTGGCTGGCTGGCTGCTGATAGGCTGATGCGATCACATGTAGTTGAGGAATGCATTATGGGTCAGCGCGCCTTGTCTGCGCGCCTTCCCAGACATCCCCGCTCCGTCGCCGCACATGTCAGCCGCCATTTTCTGAAAAATTTCGATTCGCGCGTCCGAATTAGGCTATTTTTCGGATTCGGCACGAATCGAAATTTTTCCGATATCGACTCGAATTCCACTTCGGATACTTCGATTCGCTCATCTCTAGTTATAACAGCACTAGATTAATCAAATCTAATTATCAGTCAGCACAGCCACTGCATGATTACTCTTTACACCACAAAAAATATCATCAAACATATAAATATAAGTAAAAAAATTGCATATGAATCAATAACATAAAGGTTGCTGCGCCAACCATAAAGTGGTTTCACTCCACCCCTCAGGAAATAATGCAGCAAAAGACACCACACAACCCACAAACCTTCACTATAAAATAATGATGAAGTCAAAAACATGAAGTCCAAAGTAGTAAGATCTTCCACCAAATTATCCATGTGTCCCAATGGGTCTGTGCACCAGTATCTTCTATAACTGATCACCAGTGCTACCCATGGATACACCTCCCATGAACAATATACTGCATGCTCACCTCCAGACTAGACCCTGATGGATAGTCCCCCTTGTTCCCCCTTCAGGGGCTGCAAACAGGATGGCTCCAGATTCAGTTCACCACAGATGGCTCCCAATGTTCTGTGGATCCTCCACTCACATTATCACGTTATTTCTTTCATGAAAGAAGAATAGGGAATGATAGTGCCTTTCATACAGTAAAATCATTTATTCAATATTAAAATGAAGTCAGTGCACACAGTGCTATGTACTACGCATATCAAACACATATTAAACTCTGTCTCACCACCTCTCATGCCGACATCAAGATGGCCACTGACCCCGCTCCACTCCTATACATGTTACTCCCAATCAATAGGTTTCCACAGTAGGACCGGAGCAAGTGGTCACTTGTGGTTCACTGGTGGTGGCTTGTAGAGCATATAAGCACGTCCTGCTGGCTTGCTGCGGTCCTGCTGAGATATGACCCCTTCTTGGAAAATAGACAGTACAAGGTATTTAGTAAGAGGAATGGTGAGTTTTTGGAAGGTGTAATTTTTTTTTTCAGAAAATTAAGTAAACATTTTTTTTTTACTCTCACTAGTACAGTGCAGAGTTATTAAATCACTGGTGTGGCGGTAATCAGGGATACTGACTAGAAACAGTATGTAAAAAAAAAAAAATGATAAGAATATGAAATAATATTGTATTTAATTCTGTAAATCCTTTTTTTTTTTTTTTCTTTTTTCAACATTTTTTTTTTAACATACTGTCATCAGAGTAGTTCAATGGTTTTTCATTCATGACAGCTTGCTTACTGTTGTGATGCTGTGATTGGCTTCAGCTAATCACATGGTACAGGGTGCCAGGTACCACATAATAGATGTGGGCCAATCACAGAAAGCAAGCTGTTCATGAATGAAAACCATTCATGACAGTTTACTTACATAATATCATGTGCACACTATGATTGATCATAGTGGTTACATGATACTCTGGCAATTCACAGTGGCCTGGACATCGATAGCGCCTCAGCAGAGGGGGAGCCTGTACAACTGTACAAGACTGAAGACTGTGACGCTGGAGTTCAACTTTATTGTAAATCTTTTCAGATTGTTAATGTGTTACAGACCTATTTGCATGTATAGTCATTTTACAGTATGTACATGGAGTGACCATATCTGTTCATTGCATATGTGGCCCCCTTGTATCTGCCTGCAAGTATATTACCCCATGACTGTCACTAATATACATTATATTACATTTATTTACAAAGCCTTTCAAAACTTGTTAGTATGGAGCTAGTCTAGGGCTCATGTACTGACTGAACTTTATTGAGTTTGCAGTTATTTAGAACTTTTTAAATATTTTTCTTTATTTTTCCCCAGGATTATACAATAACACATTACACCTTGGGGGCGGGCCTCCTTGTGGGAGGAGTTTTTTTACTATGGCTTCTGCAGAGGTTTTTTCAAGAGAACCAGCCAGGTGAGTGACGAGTCTATTCTTTCCTTTTTACCTTAACTTGAGTAGTACAAATGTTTAACCCAAACTATCCTTGAGTCCACAAAGGAACCGGTCCTACATTCCATAGCTCTTTGTCAGGTTTCCATACTATGTCTAGTCATGCAAAGAAATCCAAAAAGCATAGTTCACATTGCTCACCTTCATATAGAAGTTTATTGGTACAGACCAATGTACAAAGTAGACTGGTATCAAGATAAGGAGCTGTGACACGTTTTGCGCACAAGTGCGTAGTTGTAAGGTCTGAATGTTAAGCTTTTGCCAACCACATTACGCATATGTGCAGTGGCAAGGAGGGTGGGCCTTAATGCCCACACACTGAATATATGTGTCCATGGCATCTTAGGGCTTTTATCACAGAAAGCTCCCAGTCTTTAATTATGATTGGGAGCTTGCAGGACAGGCTTCCAAACATGTGATCACTGTGACAGCCAATCACATGATTGGGAAGTCTGTACCGCCCAAGAGGATCAACAAGTATTCAAGAGGTGGCAGTATTGCCTCCTGAACACCTGCAAACTGGCATCCAACCAACTCTGAAACGTACTCCACCAATTTTAATTAAAAAAAAAATATCTGTGCAATTGATAGAAGTGCAAGTCAACTAAATATATTATTAGTATTCAGGATTTATATAGCGCCAACAGCTTGCAGAGTGCTTTACAACAAGGGCAGACAGTATAGTTACAATACAATTCAATACATACATAAAAATAACTACCAGCTGCTAACACAAATTTGTATCACCCCACATTCAATTTAAAATTAAAATAAAGTGTAGCCCTTGGTGACAAAATAGAGTTGCTCCCCTTACAGGTGAGTACATACACCTAGGGCGGCAATTTTTAAGGGGGCGAAACCGCCCCCCAGAAGAAGGGACCTTTTGAGCAGTGGCGGACAGCAGGAAGATCGATGTGGGGTGTGGGGGAGGGCAGTTGCAGAGCAATGGTCGTGTACCTCTCCCTCCAGCAGCTGACGAGCCAGGACCAGGGGGCAGCCTGGAGCAGGGAGAGGAGAAGTGGCGGAGATGAAAGAGCCCAGAGGAGGTGAGCTGTGTTGTCTTCTGTGGGCTTTCCCTCCTGTCATCCATCCAGTACACTGCACACTGACAGACCGTATGGGACTGCACCCCCCCCCCCTTCCTGCTGCCCGGAGATCAGCAGCCCTTAAAGTGGGGGGTGGGTGGGTGCAATGCTTTGGCCAATCACAGCACACAATGATGTCACAAGTGGGCAGGGTCACCGGCTTGATGTCACTGGATGGCCCTGCCCCTTAGATATTTAAGAACTGTCAGGCAGGAGCAGCTGTCAGATGGCTGGAAGCCAGCGTCAAGAGTGGAGCCTTTCTTTTTTTTTTTTCGGGTCGGCGGGGTGGCGACGGGCATCGTGATTGTTGTTGGATCTACTTTGGGGGACATTTTTTATTTTTGTTTTTTTTTAAAGGACTTGTCAGACTGTCTACTTTCATTTTTTACACTACATTTTTTTTTTTCTGAATGAGTAGCGGTACTATGTACACCATACTCATTCACATGGAGGGTAGGCCAGGACCTGGGGACCCCCTTGTTCAAGGGGGCCTTCAGATTCCGGTAAGCCCCCTGCCCGCAGACCATGGCCATGGTTGTGGGGAAAGAGGCCCTTGTCCCCATCAACATGAGGACAATATTCTTTGGGGGGGGGAGCCCCCCTCCCCCAAAGCACCCCCCCATGTTGAGGGCATGTGGTTTGGTCTGATTCAAGTTGCTCGCTCATCCCCCCCTTACTTGACCTGCTTGGCTGCATGCTTGGATAAGGGTCTGGTATGGATTTTGCGGGGGGATCCCCACACCTTTTTTAAAAACATTTTTGGCATGGGGGTTTCCCTCAAAATCCATACCAGACCTGAAGGGCTTTGTTTTTAAGGGGGGGGAGGACAGCTGAAACATTAAAGCATGTTTTCACTACTAAAATACCGCATAACTCATGCATACTTGGATGTGGTAAGATACCGCTTAGTGAATTGTCCTGGTTCAAAGTTTTTGGCCAAACGTTCATTAGGTTGAAATGTTCGACCATGATCCGAGCAGGGGGGCATGCAGCCCATCACTAACATCAATCAATGCTGCTGGCTTTAGCCAAAAGAGCTAATCATACAGAAAATTTTCTAACAGGCTGGTTGTACAGAAGTTGATGATGAACCGGATAAATTTTAATCCATGTCTTCCTGGCTTTAAAACCCATATTTAAGATAGGTACATCTGAACCTTGTACTGAAGGTCACTCTATCCACAAATTCCAAATCTTAAGAAATGTATTAGGGTAGACTCTGCCAGTGTATATTATTTTTAGTTTGGGAAAATCTGCAGTGATTGGATGATCTACTTCTGCTAGTGTTGGATGGTTAGGACTCTTCCAGTTGAGTAGCATAATCTTCCTTGCTTGGAAAAGTATTAAGCGAAACATAACGTGTTCATGTATTAGGGATAGAAAGCCACTGAGAATATCTAGGAGACAGACTTCGGAAGTTCAAGGCCTATATTTTTTTATTTTTTTTTATTTTTTTAATTTAAATATTTATTAAATTTTTCATGTTAATACAAAAAACCCAAAAAGGGAAATAATTCTCATACAAATAGACATTTATTACATTTCTACCTTTCCCTTTCTAAAAACTCTTTTCTTTCCCGTCCCACTACCCCCCCCCCTCCCGCCCCCCCCTCCCCCTCTGCAGACTCTAGCCCATTCTAATCTCTTGAGGCTTATTAATTTTTTGTTAACATCCTAGTTCATCATATTGTCCTATATTTCTCTTTCAATCCTGCTCTTTCCCACTTTTCCCATCTCCTGAAATAAACTCTCATCCTATCTTCCTGCATATGGTATGATCTTTCCATTCTACCTATCTGGTTTACTCTATTAATCCAGTCTACCTCCTTCGGTACCTCAGCTTTCCGCCAAAACTTGGGTATCAACCCTTTCGCTGCATTCAAGAAGTACCAAATACCTGAATCTTTATATTTATTTACAGACGTCTCCACATTGTGTAGGAGGCACGTCGTTGGGTCTAACCCTATGTCAATTTCAGTTATTTCTTCAATCAACTTGACTATTATCTTCCAAAAAGCCTGGATTTTCGGACATTCCCACCATATGTGAAACACCGTGCCTATCTCTCCACATCCTCTCCAGCACATATTTGAATTTTCCCCATTCATCTTGTGCTCTACACTCGGTGTAATGTGCCATCGTGTCACACACTTATAATTAACCTCAACCTCTCTCATACTAACATTATCGTGTATCAATCTAAACATCTTTCTCTGTCTATCCTCATCAAACCCAACTCCCATATCTCTTTCCCATTTTGTCATAAAGATTAACTTTGTGTTTGTGTCTAATTCTGTGAGTATTCTATACACTTTTGAAATACCGTGCTTCCCATCCCTTCGTGTCTCTAACAACCTTTCAAAAACATATTCCACTCCTGTTTTATTCTCAAAGGTTTCGGTAGATTTCCAATAAAACTTTTCAATTGATGATATTTCCACTCATCTATTCTAATAAAAATGTCTCCCCTTCTTCTCTATTAACTCTTTAAGTGATCTCAGTTCCCCCTCCACCAAAACATCTCTCAGTTGGGTATCCTCCTTCCTAAACCATCTCCCTGATATCTTATTCTTTCCCGGGGGAAAGTACTCAGTATTTGTGAGAGGCATTAATATTGAATTAAATTCCCATTTCATAGTTTTGTGTAAATTGTCCCATACCCTAAAAACATTTAAAGTGTAGATACTTGTGCTTTCTTTAATTCCCCTGAACTGTGGTGGAACCCATATCATCTGACTCAATCTAATGCCACTAAGATCGTTTTCAATTGTTACCCAACTTTTTCCCTTATGGTTAAATGTCCAGTCATATATTCTTGCTAAAACCACTGCTTTATAGTATCTCTTGACGTCTGGTAGACCCAATCCCCCTTTCTCTTTAGTCCTACTCAATGTTTCATATGCTATTCTAGGTTTTTTATTCTTCCATATGTATCTTGTTAACAATTTTTTCATTATCTTAAAGAAGGCTTCTGGAATTTTAATTGGTACCATTTGAAATCTATACAGTATTTTAGGCATAATTACCATTTTGACTAAGTTTATACGTCCTATCCAGGATGGATTTCCTCCTTCTAGTCTTTTTAAATCTTCCCTGATCTCATTTATCAAAGAGATATAGTTTAATCTATACAAATGCTTAGATGAGGCAGTGAGTTTTATTCCTAGGTATTTTATCTCTTTTTCTCTCCATATAAAGGGGAATTCTTTTTGTAGTTTTTCTTTTTCTTCCTTTAATATATTAATATTCAGGATCTCTGTTTTCGTTGGATTAATTTTTTAAATTTGATAGTTCACCGTACTCCTTCAGAATCTTCATTATATTTGGGAGAGTTATTTGGGGGGATTCCCCACGTAGAACAATAGGTCGTCCGCGAAAGCCGCTACTCTATGTTCTATGGATTCTATCTGAATTCCCTTTACCGATCCACTATTTTCTTATTATTGACAACAGAGGTTCAAGTGACAATACATATAGCAGAGGGGACAGAGGACAGCCCTGTCTTGTACCATTAGACATTCCAATGGGTTCTGATCTCTCCCCATTTACCGTGATGATTGCAGTAGGCTCCCTATATAATTTACTTATCCACTCTCGCATTCTATCACCTATCCCCAGCACTTTTAAGTTGTCCATCATAAAGCCCCAGTCCACTCTATCAAATGCCTTCTCTGCATCAATTGACAAGAGAACCACCGGGACTTTCCCTCTTCTACTTTTCTGAATAAGCATCAGGGTTCTCAAGCCGTTATCTCTACCTTCTCTCCCCGGTACAAAGCCCACCTGGTCTCCATGGATCCATTCAGGCATCAGATCTCTCAGCCTGTTTGCTAACACCTTTGCATACAGTTTAGTGTCTGTGTTCAATAATGAGATAGGTCTATAGCTGGAGCACTGAGATGGGTCTTTCCCCTCCTTGTGAATAAGTACTACATGGGCCTGTAGGGATTCTCTCCTCACTTCCATCCCACCCTCCCAGAGCATTCATATATTTCTCCAACTTGGGTAACAGTACTTCACTAAATGTCTTATAGTACTTAACTGTATAGCCATCCGGGCCTGGACTTTTTCCCCTCCTGTGCTTCTTAATGCTATTTTAATTTCTTCCTGGGAAATTTCTGCATCTAAAGAGTTCAACTGTGCTTCACTTAGTTTTGGTAATCCCGCATTTTTTAAGTATGTCATCTTTTTTTCATTAATTCCCTCTTGGGCTTCTTTTAGATGGCCTTGGGGGCTAATATTATATAACTTTTTGTAATACTCCGTAAACACTTTAATAATCTCTTTATTTGAGTGGACCAACTCCCCCTCTGAACTTTTTATCTTTTCATATAGTTCCTATTTTTCTTTTTATTCAGAGCTCTCATTAGATATCTTCCTGGTCTGTCTCCCCATCTATATCTCTCGTTCAAAACCCTGTTGTATACTCTTCTCTTCTCCTCATCCATCAACCTCTCTAGCTCATCTTTTTTATCCATCAACTTCTGTCTCGTATCTTTTGTTATTTTCTTCTTATGGATCTGCTCCAAGTCCAATATTTCTTTTAAGAGCCCACTGACCCTCTCTCTTCTTTCCTTTTTCTTCCTTGCTCCTGCCGCAATCAAGATTCCTCTTATGAATACCTTGTGACTTTCCCAGACTGTAGCTATCGATACTTCCTCTGTTTCATTCTCCTTAAAGTATACCTTAATCTCTTTCTCGATTTTCTGAACTACATCTCATCCAGAAGAAGAACCTCATTTAACCTCCACCCTAATCCTCCAGTCCATCTTCTTCCCCATCCCATCTTCATCACGACCGGAGCATGATCCGAGAACGTCCTTGTCTCTATGTCAATTTTTACCAGATGATCTATAAGTTGGTGGTTTATTAAGATGTAATCTAATCTCGAGTATATCTCATGTGCATTAGAGAAGAAGGTATAGTCTCTGTCTTTCATGTGCGTTATTCTCCAGGTATCCACTAGTTGGCACTCATGCATCACTTTTTTCAAGGCTCTCAGAGACCTACTCCCCTCTCTTTGCACGGAAGAGGTATTATCCTTTTGTGGGTCCATACAGAAATTTAGGTCTCCAGCTACTATCAAGCGCCCTTTTTTAAATTCCATTAATTTTTTCAAACAGACCCTTCATATACATCTCCGAGTTTTTGTTGGGGCAGTATATATTGGCTAAAGTACACTCAATCCCCTGTAGTCTACCTTTTTAAGAATAAAAACCTCCCCTCGGGTCGGTTCTTCTATCCTCCAGCTCAAATCTCATATTCTTTGCCAAACCTATTGCAACCCCTTTTGCTCTTTTAATTGGAGAATCTGCATAGTACCATGTTGGATAGTATTTGGATCTCAATTTCACGTTTGCCTCAATCTCAAAATGCGTCTCCTGTAAAAACACCACTGACGCAGCCCTATGATGTAACTCATTAAACAACCTAAATCTCTTCCCTGGACAACTCAGCCCGTTCACATTATAGGTTATAAACTGTATTTCTTCCATCATTCCCAATTAACTCCATCTCTCTTCCAAATTGCCTCTTCCTCTTTATCCCTTCTGTCATGCAGAGTATTGACCCAATACCTCCTCCCCTCCCTCTCTCCCACCCAACTCTCATCCCCTCCCCCCTCCCCCCCCCCCCCACTTCCCTCCCCCATCCCTCCACCCCCCCGTCCACTTCTCCCTCCCTCCCACCCTTCCCATCCTTTAGGCTTACATTTTGCCTATATATCTTTTGTGGGGTCAAACCCACCATAGATTACCTCCTTGGGGTTGAACTCCAACCATGGACAGATCCCCACACCTCCCACCACCTCAGATACCCCAAAAGTATTTCCATCATCAATTCAAGATGTTCCACCTTTCTTAAGGTCCCGAAGGAGAAAAGAGAGAGAGAGAGGGTGGCGTCAAGCGGGAGAAGAGGAGAGGAGGAGAAAAAAAAAAAAAAAAAAAAAAAAAAAAAAAATTATTAAATAAATAATAAAAAAAATAAATAAATAATTAAATAAATAAATAAACTTCCCCTCTCTCTCCCTCTCCTCCTCCCCTCCCTCCCAGCGCCCTCCCTCAATTCTCTACCTCCCTCTTCTAGCAAACTGCCACTCCTCTCTCTCTCCACCTCCCAGACCCCCTTCTTCCACCTCCCAACCAGGGACTTCCATCCTTTGTAATTCAAGTCTATCACAGAAGTTCCTTAAGTCCTCAGGAAATCTCAATTGAGCTGTAACTCCATTCTTCCATCCAATTAGGCACTCCGGCGTACCCCATCTATAGTGCACCTTTTGCTTTATCATCTGTTCTAACAGGGGTTTTAAAGTTCTTCTCCTCCACAATGTCTCTGGTGTTAAGTCTGCAAAAATCTGTATATTCTTTTCTCCATAATTAATACTTGATCTTCCCTTGGTCTTTCTCCATACTTCTTCTTTATCCTCCCATTTCTGAAATTGGACTATTATATCTCTTGGTTTCTCTTTTCCACTTCCTTGTTGATTTTTTCCTATCCTGAAAACACCTTCCAGGTTAATCTTTTCTGTTTCTGATCTTTCCATAATGGAGTTTAATATTTTACAGATAAGGCCTCTTGTTTCTTCTCCTTTTACCAATTCCGGAACTCCTCTCACCCTAATGTTGTTTCTCCTTTCCCTGTTTTCTTGTACTTCCATTCTATATAACAGCTTTTTTTGATCTTTCTTAATTTCCATTGTCCTTTTCTCCAGATCAGAAATATATTGAGCATGGCTTTTAACTCTTTCCTCTGTCTCCTCCACCCTTGATAGCATCCGGCCCAAATCATTTTGTATACTTGTCATTTCATGTTTTAATGTTTTTTCTAAGTTCTTGAACATATCTGCCATCTCTTTCTTGTTTGGAATTTGTAATTCACTTTCCGTGTCTCTGCTCTCCAATTTTTCTGTAAGATGCTGACTGTTATATTCTTTTCCCAGAGAGAGTCTAGGGCTACCTTCTGTACTCATTTCCATTTCACATTTTTCACCAACGCTTTGAGATCTATCTGGGGTCACATTTCCTTGAGATGTATATTTTTTTTATCGTGCCAGTTTGAGACCCCCTTGGGCCACTATTTTTAACATTTTTATTTTTCATCTCTTCTATGCGTTCTTTTTTTTTTTTTTTTTTTTTTCTTTAATAGGGGAATCACAAAGATTTATAACAATATATACCAGGGACTCCTATTTTTTTTTTCCTTCGAGTTCTCTACTTAATATTCCTTCCAGGCTGCTTTTAATCTCCTCCTCTCTCTCCGTCAGACCCCCAGGGAAACCCCCTTTCACAACTCCTCCTTCGTCTTTAGACAACAGAAACAGTCATTTATATATCACAATAATCCATCCAGGCTGCTCTCACTCACCCTTCACAGCTGCAGCTCTAACAAGTTCCTTAGTTGTCACATTCCATAGCTCTCTTCAGGGAGGAGGGGGGGGGGGGGGGGGGGGGGGGGGGGGGGGGTTTCCTCCGGGTCTCTTTGTTTTCACTCCTCTGTAACAAAGTCACTTCCATTCAGGGGGGGGAGGGAGGCATCTTGCTGCATACTTCTCCCATAAGAATGTCTCATGTACTGGGAGGGGAGCAATCCGATATCTTCCTCTCTCCTCTCAGCTCTAAACACCAGCCGGCATTTCCCCTACCCAGTAATTCTCTGCGGCTGACACGTGGGCAAGCCGAGCCTCCTCGTTTCCTCGGCAACCCTGCTCTCTCTCCCCTGGGACGAGTCTCCAGCCTGTCTTCAGTCCGACAGCACAGTTCACTTCCTATTCATAGTGCCCGGGACCACGGCTTCAGCACGTAACCCACCATACTCTGGTAGGTCCCCACGGTCTCTGTTCTCCAGTATCTGTATCCGAGGCGGTGGGAAAGGACGGAGAGCTTCCACACCACGCTCTCCTACACCGCCATAGTTCAGTTCAAGGCCTATAAATCTGCATTAAGTTTCCATCACATCCCAAAAGCTGGTAATGCAGAGGCAAATCTAGTATACATGATATGTGATAGCAGGAGTCACCACATCAGTACTAGCTAGTTAAGTTAGCTCTAAACTGACTTGGCAAGCCACCAAATGGCTGGTATGATAACTAATCACAAGTGCAGCACGGGTGGCAACTGCAGAGCAGATGGAGTCTATGATGGCAGCTTCAGGAGGGTTTGGTTCTGCTTTATAGCTTTTTAAATCAAGCCTATTGTCCTTGTTACTTGCACTCATTATTCATCATTCATTGTGTATGTACCTATTTTATTAATTGTCTGTAGGTATCCCATTATTGGATATTCCAAAGAAACCGATTCAGAGGGTTTCACACAAGGTGAGAAATTTTAGTGTTTATTCATTACAGTTTGAAGGTGTCTGGAGAGGGCAAAAGTAACAGAAACAATATAAACACAAATATTAAATGTTGAGCTTTAGGTCTCTTGCACACAAGACATTTTCTTTATCTCTCCTAAACATCTTGCATTCTGACCGTGTTATTTTGGTATACAAAATGCTTGACACTTGTAAAAGTGTTGACTGCATTTAGCCGCTTTAAGCCAGAATAAATAATAATTTATTCTGGCCATTGAAATTAATTAACACTCAAGTGCTAAACGTGGCTAGCATTAAAGTGCATTTACACATGTTTACAAGCATCAAGTATTCTTTCTGCCAAACGCAGTTCAAAACGCTGAACTCCTCTAAAAGACTTTTTTTCATGGACATATATGCTAACATGCAGGTGCTTTTAGAGGCAGGAAAAAAGCCAGACACCCCTAGGAGCAGCTTATAAAATGTCCAACATGAATGAGGTCTTAATTATACATCCACTTACCCTAATTCCTAAGGCACAATGACCCAACCATCTTGTGATACACAATGACCCAAGCATCTATGTGTCTTAAGATGGCCATGAATAGAACTGAAAAAAGATCTGTACACATCTATCCTTTGATATTTTTATTGGACAAGTACAACTGTAACATGAGTAAATAGTAACGAAGACATGTCTATAGTCAAGTCACTTTCCCATCATGAGAACCTTTCAAATAATACAACAGATTGCTAAGGTTTGGACAGAAGCCTGAAATAAACACAGAATTGCATTTCTACAAACCACAATCCTCAAGGCTGTCTCTGAAGAGTAAAGACTTAATATGGATTTAGTCTACAGGAACAGGAAGGGGTTATGTCAGTAGCTTCAGATATGTCACATAGGGCTACAAACCAAACCACAGATAATAGACAGACTTCTCTTTTTTGTACTTGTACATTATTTACATGCTTATACAGGAACCAAACATCAAACTTTACCATAAGTAGACACCTAATATCTACATGCACAGAACTTCCAATTCTTATTAAAGCATTAATACTGTGCAATGAGCCTCCTTGTTGTGGTTCTTGTGTAAGCCAGGTATTCCCAAGGTCCTGGTTCTACCCATCTGGAAAGGTAGCAGAGCATTAACTGCAGTAGATCAGGCAAAACAGTGAAGTTCCAAGCCTTGAGTGTATAATTCTTTGGTCCCTTAATGCCCCAGGTGTTGGCCCCAGGGAAGCCGTCCAGCCTGATGCTACACAAGTAACACAGTAGGTGAGGCCACAAACTGATGACTTCACACTGTATTGTGTATTCAGTCCAGCTGGCTTCTACACGGTCTCTGCCTGTAGCTATGCCTTCTAACATGTTTCACCCTGATTGGGCTTATACATAGAAGGTAGCATAAAGCAAAAGGATGGCATAGAATAGCATAAACTGCAGTACTTGTAGGCAGGCGCAGGTTTTCTTCCATTAGGTAGGTGGCCATCATACAGATGGAGTGAAATTTGTTAGGGGAAATTGTCCCCTCATGGACTCTCTCTGTGTCTGAGGGGGAGTAGCTTCCTGATTGGACGTTGCAACCTCTAGTGAGCTTTGGCGGTCATCTTAGGTGATGGAACCTTCTATATAAGGGGCCTCACATCATTTTGGGGCTTTCTGGCGAGTGAATGGTAGGGAAAGGAACCTGTTTGTGAGGGACAGTGGATAGCTCAGGGTCAGGTTCCTGGCAAGGATGATATAGGAAAGGCTCCTTCTTCACTATACATACTCCCATGCGCGGTGCAGAGATGTGGAGCTGGTGTAGACTACAGGAATGTTCTTTGCTTACAGTATACCCAGAAAGGACACTACCTCTGATAACAGAATCTGTTCTCTGGTAACAAATACTATAAATGCTAAGAGTCTGTATATTGCCTGGACTTTTGATATCAGTGTTGAAGATTAGATCACTTGCAGCAAACCAACTGTGCAAGATTTATATAAAAGACATCCCTGTGAAGTCTACTGGTTTTTATGCCCAGGTTTCACACGGAGAAAGGACTTCTGCCCGAATTGAGATTAGGCCCTGCCCTAGCTTGGTGATACGCTCCGTTCTGTTATTTATCTTTTAGATGTTTGTTCTAGAGGCTTTGCCATTTGACAATTGAATGACAAGGGGTGGGATTTAACCATCTTAATCCTAACGTGCAGAAGTTGAGTTCCAATGTAAATATAGATTATTTAGTGGACACAGACTGCTCATTTCCACTGATGAATACAAATATATGTTTGTTGGACCTTTTAAATGAATCCATGTCACTGGCGTTATTTAACAGTGTCTCAATGTGTTTGCAGCTAAAAAAGAAAAAGAAGGTGCTGAGTTTAAAGCAGAGGTGAGGTGGTGAACCGCAGAGGGATACAGAAGTTGTTAGAATGTTGAAGCAGTACATTTCTATAAGATGCTTTGTTTTTTAGGATTCGGAGGGGAGGATGGGAACATCCAGTGGCTCCCACACATCACTCAGAAGCAGCGCCAGATTCTCTTCTCAGACCCCCATCTGAGGTGGAGACCCCTGCTCTGCCCCCAGAGGTGCTCTACATGCTGCAAAGTGTTCGGTAAGGCTCTGAAGTCCTGTTTGATTGTGCTGGGTTTTTTTTTTGAGACAAGTTCTGCTTTTGTTTTGTTACAGCAAGAATCATAGTAGGGCAGTGATGCCCTTTCAGTTCTCCCAGAGTGGTTTTCCCTAGAATGACAGATATTTTACTTTGTAAAGTAAATTATTGAATATTAATTACACATCTTCCACTGATGGTGTTATCTAGAGGTATACCTCAAGCTAGTAGAGATCCCCAATTACTAGATTAAACTCTCCAAAATAGGTCAAGCTATCTATAGGGCATCTCATAGTACATTGATAGAAGTAATATTTCAGGGGCAACATTTGAGGCCTGCAAACTTTTTGCATTTTGGTTTATGAGGATCTTTCAATTATTTTTTTGTAGGAAATTAAGGAAATATACCTTATTTATATATTTTTTTTACACTGATGGCAAATGGCACTCAGGTCTTATAAAGTGCATACGTTGTCAGCAATTTTTTAGGGTTATATACTAAATTTACTCTTCAAGAGAGACAAGGCCCAAAGGCCACCATGACCATATGGGTTGGTTGCCTCCCCACTTATCCTTCTGGCTTAATTCATCTTCTCTGTTACAACGTCTTCAGAGCAAAACAGCCTTTTAATCGCTAACCATGGCAACATTAAGTGATTGGTCACCAGCGTAATCTAGAGAGGTGAACACCACTCTCTGTTGGGTTTCTGTACCTGGCACATACTTAGTAACATCCTTTAGGTTTTTATTATGTATGTATTAAAGGAGAACTTTTTACATTAAGGACTCCTTCAAATGGGCATACCGTTCTGTACAAACGTACCACAAGCTGCCCTTCCATGTGGGATGCACAGGTGTTCAAGCAGTACCATTCATGTCCACTGGGATGCAGTGGTTGTATGGACATAGCAGCTGCTCCCAATTTGACAGGCATACAGGTGCGTGGTCCTGAACACACTGGGGATAACGTCTGCATAGAAACCAATTAGAATCCAGCTTTTTATTACCAAAGCCTAACTGAACAAGCTGAAGTTGGAAGCTTATTGGCTATCATGCACAGCTGCACCAGATTCTGAGCGCACCAGCTTTAGTAAATGTGCCCCACGGTCTCTGTATTTGGGACTGTGCATCCGCACCCACACAGCTGTCAAATTGGGACCAATGACTGTCTCAGTGAAGATGGCCCTTTGTTTGGGTGTACAGATTGATATATCCATGTGAATGAGGTCTGAAGAAACATGTGCAAAAATATTCGGTTTAAAGTGTTTAGGTTTGGAGGCACTTTAAATGTTGTAAGAGGGTTAAAACTAGATGCCAAAACCTGTGATATATGTCTTATGCAGATTCAGTGTAAGTCTTCTGATATGCTGTTAGTAAATTATAACACACACACACATTATATATATATATATATATATATATATATATATATATATATATATATATATATATATATATATATATATATATATATATATATATCTATGTCTATCTATCTCCTTCAAAATTTCCACACACCAGCTCGCATTTGTTGAGTGGAAATTACGTGGGGGCGATCAGGGCTAGGACTAGGGGTGGGTGGGAAGGCCGGTGTTGGGGTCAGTTGCAAGCACTGATCTTGTATGGCTTTCAATAAAGCAACTGAAAGCCATGGGAGGGAGAGGCTTTCCCTTCCACCCTCCCTCCTTTCCCTCCTTTCCCTTTCCCTCCTTTCCCTTCCCTTCCTCCTTTCAGTCCACAGTCCACACTCCTCACCTGCACATACTACTCACCACTGTATCACACCACTGACGTCCGCACTGTGCGTCATTTTGTTTCCCTATTGATGGAAAGTACTTATTTTCCCTTTTGTTTACATTTCTTTATGTTAATATCGTCAAAGTTGTTGTTAATATTTATTTTTGTACATTTATTCTGCATAAAACATTTAACAGTGCCACTTCATGAGATAATTTACGAAGGAGTGTTTAGGGGCGGAAAAATGAGTGGGGCAGGGTAGGGGTTTTGGGTGGGGCAACTGCTGGCAAGTAACTCTTTAGGCCTGGCTAGTAGTTCAAGACTTTAAATTTGGAGCCCTGTATATATACACTATATTACCAAATGTATTGGGATACCCCTCCAAATCGTTGGATTCAGGTGTTCCAATCACCTCCATGGCCACAGGTGTATAAAATCAAGCACCTAGGCATGCAGACTGCTTCTACAAACATTTCTGAAAGAAATGTTCTCAAAATCTCAGTGAATTCAAGCGTGGTACGGTGATAGGTTGCCACCTGTGCAATAAGTCCATCTGTGACATTTCCTTGCTGCTAAATATTCCATGGTCAACTGTTAGTGGTATAACAAAGTGGAAGCAGCTGGAAACAACAGCAATTCAGCCACAAAGTGGTAGACCATGTAAAATGACAGAGCGGTGTCAGCGCATGCAGAGGTCACAGAAGTCATTAACTGTCTGCAGAGTCAATAGCTAAAGAACTTCGTGTGGCCTTCAGATTAGCAAAACAACAGTGCGTAGAGAGCTTCATAGAATGGGTTTCCATGGCTGAGCAGCTGCATCCAATCCTTACATCACCAAGTGCTATATGAGCAGTGGAGAGATTTGTCTCTGGTGTGACAAATCGCGCTTCTCTGTCTGGCAATCTGATGGATGTGTCTGGGCTTGGCGGCTGCCAGGAGAACGGTACTTTCCTGACTACATTATGCCAAGTGTAACGTTTGGTGGATGGGGGATTATGGTGGGAGGTTGTTTTTCAGGGCTTGGGTTTGGCCTCTTAGTTCCAGTGAAGGGAACTCTTAAGGCATCAGCACATCAAGACATTTTGGACAATTTCATGCTCCCAACTTTGTGGGAACAGTTTGAGGATAGCCAACTACACAAGAAATGGCAACCGTTCCAACCTATAACCATCATTAGCAGTAAGGTGCACTGGAAGGGCAATGCACATCGCAAACAAACAAAGGATTTCCCAGTAACATTTTCCATCCAGCCTGAAAAACAATTTGGCCTGTTTAACAGTTTGCGTTAAAAACAGAGTGTTTTGTTTGCGCACATTTGCAAATACATTAGTAAGCCCCAAGGGTCCTCAAGGGTCCTCTGTATACTGTGGACATAACTAAAATTTCCAGAGCCCATAGCAGGAGCACATGTATCAATGGATAGGTTAAGGGCAGGTATGCCTAGAGGAGCCCATCCCTCCTTAAAGGTACAGGGACGCACGTGGCACCCAGCTATACCAAAATGACAGCAAAGGCATCCAGTGCAGTGCGTCCCTGCATCCAAATTAACCAACTACACAAAAAATGGCAACCGTCCCAACCTATAAACCAGCTTTAGCAGTAAGGTGAACATGGAAGGGCAATGCACATCACAAATAAACAAAGGATTTCCCAGCAACACTTATCAATCAGCCTGCAAAACAACCAATTTGGCCCTGTCTAACTGTTTGCGTTAAAAACAGAGGGTTTTGTTTGCACACATTTGCAAATACAGTTTGGGGATAGCCCCTTCCTGTTCCAACATGACTGTGCACTAGTGCACAAAGCAAGGTCCATAAAAACATGGATGAGCAAGTTTGGGGTGGAGGAACTTGACTGGCCTGCACAGAGTCCTGACCTCAACCCGACAGAACACCTTTGGGATGAATTGGAGCGAGACTGTGAGCCAGGTCTTCTCATCCAACATCAGTGCCTGACCTCACAAATGCGCTTCTGGAAGAATGGTCAAACCTTCCCATAGACACCCTCCTAAACCTCGTGGACAACCTTCCCAGAAGAGTTGCAATTTTTCTAGCTGCTAAGGACAGGGCCAACTCAATATTGAAACCCTATGAACTAAGACTGGGATGCAGGCCCAGACTGGCGCAGGCATTTTAGACTGAGCAGCTAATTTTTCCAGGGACCGGGGGGGGGAAGGTGATAATTTGTGGCGTTGTTTGATGATGGGATATTCATGCAGTCGGTTCTCTGTACTGTAATGGAAAGGGGTGCTGTGATATGAAGGGAGCAGCACTGTAAAGGGGCATTCCCCTTCCTTCTCTGTTATCATCGCCGATTGAGGATGACATCTTTGGTGGGGTGGGAGAGGAGACACAGGAATGGCTGCATATCAGGAGGTGAGCAGCGACCGTGGTCTGTCCGGACTGCAGCCACCGCTTACCAACTGCTGTGCGGCCTGGTTAGTTTTGTTAGGACATACGGGCCTGGTGTGCCCTACGTCCAGTCTGGTCCTGCTGGGATGCCATTAAAGTTCATGTGCGTATAAAGTCAGATGTCCCAATACTTTTGGCAATATAGTGTGTGTATGTATATATATATATATATATATATATATATCAATAGATATGGGTTCTTCAAAAGCTGTTATAATAATTGTTGTAATATGTATTAATATGTATATGTGTGTGTGTATGTATGTATATATATATATATATATATATATATATATATATATATATATATATATATATATTTGAAAAGTTTTGAAGACCATATATATACTGTATGTGTGAATATATATATATATATATAGCCACTGTGCCTGTAATCTGACTCTAATCTCTCTTGTTAATGTATTGTGCCAAATTCATGAAGCATTTGCTACACTTTTGGTTCTGATAGCAACTCATGCACCAAATTCAAAAAGTTCTAAAATGTGCAACATTTACAATGTGTTGTATTGAATATACCAAATGTAAAATTGGAGCTAATTAAGACCAACTCTCTTTCGGTGTACAGACAAAAACTGGCTCAGACAGATTTTGCAAAAGTGTATTCTAAAAGTGGCACAGCACGAGCCAAATTCAAGTACAAGTTCTAGACAGTTACATGAATTTGACGCATTCTTCAACACTTTTAGCATACACGAGATACACTTTCGTTAAATCTGCCCACACCAGTCTTTATGAATTCTAGGTACTGTATTTTATTTCATGTGAGGTTTGGATCTGATCAGCAGAGACCTGATCTAGGCCCCTTGTGCAGCTATGCAGGAACAGGTCTTCTACTGTCTGTGGATCTAAATATTTGGTTAAAGTGGATCCATATATTTAAGACTGCTCTGTCTCCAGAGCAGCTTTCCTAGCTACAGAGAGTTTCTAGGCAAAACTCCTCTGGATAGACGCCCTCAACAGCACCAGCACAGCTCAGTCTGGACAGGAATCCACAGAACTTAACAAGATAACCATTGTGCAGGAGACCAGACCAGTCACCCGGCACAAGGAGAGAACAGAGGGAAGGATTCATACTGGATTACTGCACAGATCTGGAAAAACCACATAAAGCACACCCAGATTTAAGTAAGGATACACATGCCTCTTGTATTTAGACAGTACTTGCTTATTCCTACATAAGTAGTTTAATCCCATTAAAATATAAATGGGTTTAATCTGCACAGCCCCTGCCCAATGTTCATTAAGTTGTTATGCATAGGTTGGTCATTTAACAAAAAAATAAATTAGATATAGATGCTGCCATCTTCTTCTGTTCTAAATTACTCAAAAATCTGTGCATAATTGCTAGACAGGAGGGTTATGTTTTTTGAGAGTCAGTAAACTGCTAGAACATTTTAGTAGAGTACCTTAGGTGCTCCTCCTTTTCCCAGCAACCCTCCAGGTCTTAGACCTACCTGTCCCCACTCCTCTGAGATCTTTCCATTGGCAACCATTCATCTACCATGGTTTGGCAAGGCTCAACTCTTTCTCTGCACAATGCATATTCATTCAGTCCTATGGAAAAAAAAGCATCTATTATTTCTCCCAAAGGTCCGTAGGGATTAATGGAGACTGAGTGAAAGAAGCAGAGCCTGGATGGGAGTCTTATAGTAAAGACACTCTACATAGTCCAGCAATTCACACCAGCAGCCATCTCAGAGAAGCGCGGACAAGTTTAAGGTTTGGTGGTGATGACATTTCTAATATAACTGGACTAAAAATATCTGCTGTGCCATAATGTTTGCTATAGAGATTAATTTACTAAATCTGGAAAGTGCAAAATCTGGTGCAGCTCTGCATAGAAACCAATCGGCTTCCAGGTTTTATTGTCAAAGCTTAACTGCATAAGATGAAGTTAGAAGCTGATTGGCTACCATGCACAGCTGCACCAGATTTTTTACTCTCCAATCATAATAAATCAGCCCCTTTGCATCTATTTTCCCTATAATCCCTTATTACTGTAAGTATGCAAGTGCTGTGCTGTCATTATCCATTGAAGTCTTGGACCATCAAAGCTTACATATCAATGAGGGTGGTTAATATGCACAGACACCACAACCTAATTGTTATATATAGTACGTATATTTGAAAACTGACTTTAAAGGAGCCCAAGGATTCGTCAAACAAAATTATGAAAAATTCTGCAAAATATATGGAGTACAAAAGTTGATTATAAAAACATTACAGGCAAAATTATACCAGTTAATCTTTTAAGGAAGAGAAAAAAAAAATATTTTCTACAGAGGTATTTAGTATCCCATATACACTCACCGACCACTCTATTAGGCACACCTTGCTAGTATCAGGCTAGACCACCTTTTGTCTTCAGAACTGCCTTAATTCTTCATGGCATAGATTCAACAAGGTGTTGGAAACATTCCTCAGAGAGTTTGGTCCATCTTGACATGAGTTACTTCTGCCATTCTATCATCTTGAACCAGTCATTCCATTCTCCTCTGACCTCTGACATCAACAAGGCATTTTCGTCTGCACAACTGCCGCTCACTTGATATTTTCTCCTTTTTTGACCATTCTCTGTAAACCCTAGAGATGGTTGTGCGTGAAAATCACAGTAGATCAGCAGTCTTTAAAATACTCAGACTAGCCCATCTGGCACCAACAACCAGGCCACATTCAAAGTCACTTAAATCCTCTTTCTTCCCCATTGTGATGCTCCGTTTGAGCTTCAGCAAGTCATCTTCACCATGTCTAGATTCCTAAATGAACTGAGTTGTTGCCATGTGATTGGCTGATTAGCAATTTATGTTACCAAACAATTGAACAGGTGTACTTAATGAAGTGGCCGGTGAGTTTATGTAGATATATACAACTCTTATCAGCATAGAGTAAAATTGTTATCAACATAGTTTTCTCAACCTTAGAGGTCCTAAGTCACAATTAGAATATCCAATAGGATGGGTTTTTCAACGTGTTTTGCAGTTTCTGCTCGCTTCTTCAGGAAGGAGGGAGGGAAAGCGACAAATCTGCAATCAAACAAGGGTCTTGAGTAATGTGCTAGTCATGATTGTACATTTAATTTTTTTACCAGTTCACTAAAAGCTAACTTGTGGTACTCACTAACTCCAAGTACAGAGTCCTGCATATGAAAGATGTCGCACTATGGGTTCCTCGGGGCCAAGCACAGGGACATTTATAGAGGTAAACTGGAGAAAGGAATTGGAAGGGTATAGAGAACCAGTTAGTATTCCGAGAGCATCCACTAATTATGGTCTTGGACCATAGTAGCCAGCCTTCTACTGTATTCAGCCATCCGTTATGTAAACTTTCTTCTCTACCTCCTCTGTCTTCATCAGTGTACTCGGTCACTTTGAGAGGCCTCTTTTCCTGGCACTTTGTCAGTACGTGGTATATGAACACTATGACCCAGGAGGTGTGGTATTCTGCCCTGGACAGCCCGATTCAAGTATTTACATCGTCCTTGAAGGGAAGCTGGAACTCTCCCTGACTGATCCTGTAAGGTTTTGTTTTATCCTTGTGTCTCATATTGTGAATAATTGTGATGCTCTCAGTGACCAAAACCGGAAAAAATGGTGTCCTGGGCAAAAGTGTTGAAAAGATGGACTGTCTGCAATGACAATCATAACCATTCAGCTCCTTGCTTTTTTTTTTACTTTATTGTATATGCATTGTAAACCTAAAAACCTATTACTTACTTGACCCACTATAGACTGCTATACACTTATACTTTGTAGCAAGTATTTTAATAAAAGTAGAAATTCCTGATTTACATTTTTTGCATGTTCAAATTGACCAGTCAGGTCAACACAACTGCCCTAGGCTAGCAAAATTCCAAAATACTTGCATACTGGTTTTTATTGGACACAATGCCAATATTAGGTAAACTGTTACATTTAGAGTTGTATGCAATACCTGCAAACCAAAAATCCTTGTTTTAAGCTACTTTGCTTTCCACATTTGTATTCCTATAATAGACTAGATTAATTGTTCTACTTCAGCTAGAGGATTATTGATTGAGCAATATTTTTGTCAATACTTATAATACAAAAGAAATACCCATTTCTTTTTAGAACAAAGGCTTTATTTTGGCAAATATTGTCTTGTAAAATTATATTTTCTGTGCAATTTAAGGACTAAACCAAAAAAAAAAAAAAAAATCTGGTTTTGACTAGCATGCATGTAAACCTGTAATCTATTCTGCAATTTGTTCCATTTAAAATGACTAAAATTCTATTTCTGGTACAAAGCATGATAAATTAATTCACAAATTAAATTAAAACAATTCTAAAATTGTGTGTATTTTTATGTTATGATACAAAAAACACAAAGAGAACTAAACAAACAGAAGTAAAAAAAAACTTAAATGTGAAGGGTGAACAAATAATAATTAGAAAATTATACATACTTTACAATGCTCCATTTAGGTAACTTTTTGGTTAAAACCTAGAAATGTTGTTGTACTAGTAGAGCTTTACTTTTTTATTTATTTATTTAAATAATTCACTAATTTACCTATTCTTTTTTTTTATAATTGCACAACTGAAAGACCAATTGTTGGATAAGAGTCGTTCAGTGTAGCTTAGGGTATGGTTGCCATCATCCCTATTTCCATAATAGAGAAAACTATATCTTACATTTAATGGGATTTTTAAGGCAACCTTGGATTACACAAAAAAAAAACCCCAGTTATTTAAAAAAAAAAATCAACTTTTTATTTATACAAATTTCTTTTGTTTTGCTAATCAGCACATACAAAATGGATATTGCATATTAACCAATATATAGTACAGCAATTTAAACAGCTCATTCACTTAGCAAAATTGTAGTTCTTACAATATGTATCCAGTGGTATCCCCCAAAGCTGATCATCTTTGAGGGATACCACTGGATACAAATTGCAACAACTACAATTTTACTAAGTAAATGAGCTGTTTAAATTGCTGTACTATATATTGGTTAATATATTGGTTACTATGCAGTGCCCATTTTGTATGTGCTGATTAGCAAAACAAAAGAAATTTGTACAAATAAAATGTAAATTTTTTTAAACAATTGTTTTTTTTTGTGTAATCCAAGGTTGCCTTAAAATCCCATTAAATGTAAGATATAGTTTTCTCTACTATGAAAGACCAATTGTTAGGATGCCAACTCCTGCTTGAATTTGCTGCTGATGAACAGACTCTCAGTATTGTCTGAAAGGCTTTGTTGCCTGTGTATTTGAGCATACACTGAATTTTGGTTGGTTCTTGATAAACCTGCTGAAGTTCACTATGTGGGAGGCGTTGTTGGCCCCCTCGTTTTATTGAAAAAACTCAAAGTAGCTGGGCAGAAAATTGTTGGCTGAACAGAAGCTGAATCCAATCAGATGCAGAGTTATGAGAATACGATATCCAGCAGGAGTTGTTCATCCAACTGAGCTGTTAGTTTAGATGGAGGAATGAGTTCGATATTTTTCATTCATCCTGCAGGTCTGGATGGGCATCAATTATTAGTCTTGAGCTCCGGGCAGGCAACGGGGCAGCCTCTATGATGGCCTTACAATCTGGCCTACTGTTTCTGCTGGGAAAGGAAGAGAATACAAGCACTTATTAAACTGAGATATATACTCACAAAAGTAGCATTGGTAAAAGCATAAAAAATCCAACATCAGCGTATTGGAATAGCAGACAGGTGCGGGTCCCATCCAGAGGGGTGACTCTCAGAATGAAGCTGACGCATTCCAAGAGGAAGCCCTTCTTCCTCAGAGCTCTGAGGAAGAAGGGATCCCCCTTCGAAATGCGTCCGCTTCATTCTGAGAGTCTCCCCTCTCGATGGGTCCTACACCTGTCTGCTCTTCCAGTATCTAATATTGGATTTTTTATGCTTTTACCAATGCTACTTTTGTGAGTATATATTTTAATTTAATAAATTCACCCTTTACTTACTGAGGTAATGTGCAAGGTTGGTGCGCTTTTGTTTTTGTTCCCTGTTACAGTTTCTATTGGGCTTCCCCAGCCTTGTGTTTAAGCTGTACAACCTTTGATCGGCCATTGGATGAACTTTTATATATGGTTCTACCCTCTGAATTCTGATCTGGGTCCAATGCCCAATCTTAACTGGTTGTCTCTAAGTAAGCCTGAACAAATATGACAATGTGCTAAATTGTTTTTTACTGTTTAAAGCCCGGAATCTACTACTATAAGTTTCGCATGTTGCTTTTGTATTAGCCTGATATGAGTACAAGCAGTGATGTATTCCACATATTCTATTCTCTTCCGAGCAGGATGGTACCCGGCACTACATGAAGTCGGTGTCCCCTGGTGATAACGTGCACAGCCTGCTCAGCATCCTGGATGTCCTAACTGTGAGTTGAGAAAAGAGTTGTGGTTCATTTGTTGGATTTTATTTGTCTGATATAGGCAGGTTTCTTTCACAAGACTGCCTTGTACGTTGCCCTGATCCCACAAGGTCAGATGGCTATGAATTTCTGCTACCCTGTATCTAGGTAGGTGACGCGCTTGCTGTTTTTTTTTTTGCAAGTGCTATAATGAAAACCTGCACTGAAAACATGATCTGACCTTCCTTTATGACCTTTTGTTCTGAAAATACTAGTTACCTGGCCTTACTGATCAAGTGTCATTAGTGTTTCCTAAGGCCAAGCACTGAAGCAAACGTTCAGGTAACTAGCATTATCAAAGGAAGGCCAGCAATGACATCGTCCATATTTTTCCAGGTTTTTTACTACCAGTAAGTCAAATCTTTTGCCTCTTTAACCACTTGCCTACCAGGCACTTTTACCCCCTTCCTGCCCAGGCCAATTTTCAGCTTTCAGTGCTGTTGCACTTTGACCATGTTATTGCGCACTCATGCAACACTGTACCCAAATGAAATTGTTATCTTTTTTTGGAGACAGATAAAGCTTTATTTTGGTGGTATTTAATCACCACTGTGCTTTTTTTTTTTGTTAAATAAACAAAAAAATACCGAAAAATTTTTTTTCTTAGTTTCTGTTATAAAATTTTGCAAACAGGTAATTTTTCTCCTTCACTGATGTGAACTAATGAGGCTGCACTGATAGGTACTGATGAGGCTGCACTGATGGGTACTGATGAGGCTGCACTGATGGGGGCATTGATAGGCTGCACTGATGGGCACTGACGAGGAGGCACTGATGGGCACTGATAGATATCACTGACTGGCGGCATTAATGTCCACTGACTGGCGGCACTGATGAGCAATGACTAGTAACACTGGTGGCTAATGACTGGCGGCACTGATGGACACTGACTGGCAGCACTGATGGACACTGTTGGGACTGCACTGATGGACACTGTTGGGACTGCACTGATGGACACACTTCTGGGACTGCACTGATGGACACTCCTGGGACTGCACTGATGGAAATTGTTGGGGCTGCACTAATGTCCCCTTGGGGCTACACTGATGTTCTGAAGTGTATATGTGTATATACAGCAGGTGATTACCGGCTCTGCTCTCTCCTCACGCTGTGACAGCGTGGAGAAAGTGCAGCTGATAACCAGCAACTGTATTTACATTGTGATCACCTGTGTCATTGGACATAGCTGATCACATGGTAAAAGGGCGCTGTGATTAGCCCTTTACCATGTCATGTGATCAGCTGTGTCTAACCGCTTCCCAACCACCCTATAGCAGAAATACTGCTACAGGGGGGCACAGGTGCACAAAATCACTTATATATATGTGATTTGACATTTCTGGGTAGGGGGGGGTGCCGCCATTCGCGGCCGCGGCTGTCAATCACCTGATTATTCGCAGGCGCCCGGTGATTTCCGAGGATCTCCGATGGAGAGGAGAAGTGTTTTGTTTACTAGCAGTTTTCCTCCCTGTCAGTCTGGCACACTGTTTGGATAACTGTGCACAGCACAGCCATGCAAAGCAGTGTGATTACAGTGAAGCACAGTGACACTGTCCCCTGTGACGGTGCGCGGCGTCAGATCCCAGCCCTTCTCACCAACTTGTGACCGAAGGACCAGCCGATCTAAGACCACGCTGCCACTTGCGTAACAATGCCACTCTCAGTTGCGCCCTGCACAAAGATTTTCCAGCTCGCTGGACCACAATCTATGTGCCAGCAGCCTGAGAGCGATTGTTACTGGGTCATGTTAATTACGTAATTAACCCTTCACACTGCCACCACCACCTTTTTACAGAGTAGGAGGAAACTCACAAATCTTAGCAGTAACACTATGATGTTTGAATAAGCGCCTGTAAACACACTGCCACTGCAGACAGATGTATACAAAGGGTTAATACATACAGTAGCACTCTTTTAATTTGCATTAAAAGCTTTAGAGAGTTTAAACACTTTTCAGAAAATATAGGATTTATTACTATTGCCACTCTGGATAAAAATATATTGCTTTCCACCCTCTTGTAGATGCTACATAGGGATGTAAGGTGTCATGTGACTCGTATTAAAATGACCTATCTGAATATATGCTTTATATCAATGTGCCCAGTTCCTGCTGAAATTTATGAATTTGTATGGAAAATGACTCATGTGGGATGTACATTTTATGGCCCCTGCTGTAATGCTTACATGTCAAGTGACCGACTGAGTTATGGTTTTACGATCGGGCCAAGGAAACTGTTTGTCAGACACTCTGGCACCAGGCTTAATTAGGAATTACAACCCTGAAGTTTATTCAGCGGTGCCTTATGCAATTGTTACCCTAGTTCAAATACAGACCACATTCCATTCACAGGTGGGAGGGGGGACTGGACGGAGTGAGAATGATATTTGCAGATTATGATACAAGATGGTAGACCTTAACAAAATGGGTGTCAGTGTCCATGTGTCTAAGCGCACAATTGCCACATCCCCTAGTAAAAAAAACACTCCCTGCATACAGTTAACCCTTTGATCACCTCTTTTTGCCCAGTGCCATTAGTACAGTGTCAGTGCTTTTTTTTTTAGCACTGATCACTGTATTGGTGTCACTGGGGATGTCAGTGACACCAAGTCAGTTCCTCCCCAGTGTCACCGCCATTACATGTAAAAATTAAAAAAAAAAAAATCTCAGTATATATACCGCTATTTGTAAACGCTATAACTTTCAGGTACACCAATTAATTTACACGTATTGGGATTTGTTTTAGCAAAGACATGTAGCAGAATATATTTTGGCCTAAATTTATGATGAAATTTGATTTTTACAATTTTTTTTACTGGACATGTTTAATAGCAAAAAGTCAAACATATTGTCTTTTTTTTATAGCGCAAAAAAATAAAAAAACGAACAGGCGATCAGCTACCACCGAAAGAAAGCTCAATTTGTGGGAAAAAAAAGGACGTAAATTTCATTTACATGACCTCACAATTGCCAGTTAAATTAACGCAGCGCCGTAACGCAAAAAATGGCCTGGTCAGGAAGGGGGTAAAACTTCTGGAGGGCAAGTGGTTAAAGGGGATGTCGGTGCTTTTAATGGTGCAAGGGATGTTCAGCAAGAAATGGCTTTCCTGTTTAAGCTCCACTCATCTTTGTGTTCTGCAGCTGCCTGCTTGTTTGCCTGTATAGACTATCCTGAACACAGTCATCACGGAAGCCTGTGTCAATCCTGCAAAATACAGATAACACCCTGCATCTTACATGATGTGAGACAGGGACAGTGGTGATTGCAGCACTGTTTGTGAACCTGACTGCTCTATTCTGATCTTGTACTAACCGATCAGCCAGGCACAATAAAATACTACAAACTGAAGAGAGAAGGTATAAACAAAAAATATGACAATTTTGAAAAACAAACAATATTTTTTACAAAACATATCCAATAAAAAAAAAATCTCTTAATAGATATTGGCCAAAACGTATTCTGCTGCAAATCCTTTGGTAAAAAAAATCCCAATAAGTGTATATTGATTGGTTTGCGTGAACGTTATAGCGTCGACAAACTATGGGATACTGTATATACTGGAATTTTTATTTATTTATTTTTATGCTAGTAAAGCAGTGATCAGCGACTTATAATGGGACTATGATAGTGCAGTCTGACACTAACTGACGCTGGAGGGAACTGACTAGCTGCCACTGACATTACCAGTCACATTATTATAGAGTTCAGTGCTAATAATATGCACTGTCATTGTACTAATGACACTGGGCAGGAAGGGTTAACATCTAGGGCGATCAAAGGGTTAAATGTGTGTCTAGCAAGTGTTTATGTGTATACTGTGTGCTGCTTTTACTGGGGATCTAGTTGTTTTTATTCCCTGCTTAGCAGGGAATGAACAAACAACCAGATCCCATCACTGAATACAGGTCTGTGTTGTTCACATTCACAGAGATGTGTTTGGTGAAGCTCAGAGCTAACCAATCCTTGCCAGTAGTCAATCATTGTCACGGACCCGGTAATCAGCATGTGCTGTGACGAATGTGATGAACCACAGCACAGCCAGGTTGGTGGGCACATGCGCTCCCTCCCTGCTGGAGCACGCGATTCCCGTACTAGGTACGTTATCCAGCACAGGAAGGCCGCTCTCCCACCGTACAATTAAAATGTACTAAACCCAGGACCCTGCATTCACTCTATCTGGTATCCCACAGTACACATAACATGGAAATGCAATTATTTTAGTAAATATAAACCGCTAGATACTGTATAAGACATATTTCCTTACAGATACCTTTTCTCATCATCAGTTAAAACAGTCTTGTGACTTCTGTCAGTGTCCAGCAAAGCACTGGTTACAGCTTGTAGGAGGATGCAGAACCCCTGACCTCTGTCTAGACAGTGCCGATTGGCCCTGTGCTGATCACATGCACTCTCCCAAGAGAAAAAAAAACTCTCTACCAATACACACCAAACTGAGCATGTGCAGCTTGCCCCCGAGCCTCTATTCTATCAGGAGATATTTAGGAGACACTGGAAGAAGGGGAGGATCAGAGAAGACAGGATCAAACATCGTTTTTACACAATGCGGAGGATTAATCCCTTAGGTTCCACATTGAGTATAACAAGCATGCTTTACTGCATATACCGACTGATTATACTGTTGTGGGTTTAGCAACACTTTAAGTTATACAGCCGGCAAGTGGTTAAAGGGTAATCATGCCTACAATATAAACTTGAAAGAGTTAACATCATCTCAGCAATCCGCATAAGAGCTTTAAAACAAGCCTTTCCTGACCTCTGTAGCCAAAGGCACTGTGGAGAAATGCATCTTTAAATTTCACAATGAACTCATTCAAATCACAACTCCTGCCAGTCTTCCTATCTAAACTAACACCAGGTGCTGTAAGAATTTACAGAGTTGAGTATTCTCTTCCCACCATCATGTGACAGTGATAGGCCATGTCACCTGCTCTTCTATACCTGAAAACACTTAAGGCACCCAGAGGTCAGTGAATGTAACCTTGGTGATTTTTTTTCATTTTGAATTTGTAATATAAGTGTTGTTTGCTATCTGCAGGGCCACCAGAAGCCATACCGCACAGTAACAGCGAAGGCTGTAGAAAAGAGCACGGTGCTACGACTTCCAGTTGAGGCATTTTCTGCTGTGTTCTGCTCCTATCCCCAGAGTTTAATCCGGACTGTCCAGGTTGGTAACTGCAAACACCTGCTTTGTACATGGGACATCGGATAGAAGGAATGTAATTTTGAAAGGTAGTGGATTATCTAGGAAAAATGTTATTGTTCAGTATTATGTTCATGGAACTAAAATGAAGCCATCATATATTTTTTTTTTCTCCCATTCTTCCTTCATCAGATTATTGCTCTTCGTCTGCAGAGAGTCACCTTCCTTGCTCTGCACCATTACTTGGGCCTGACCATTGAACTCTTCCAACATGTAATATCCATCAACTCCTAAAATTAAGGGTTGGGAGGGGATGTGGGTGCATCACTGGAGGTTTCACCACCAGGAGGAAGGAGGTCCTGAATCTCCTATATGAGTCTGTGGTTATCAATAGAGGGATCACCAGAAGAAGGAAGGAGAACCTGATTCACCAATTTAGATCTTTAGTTTGACCTCATTTAGAACACAGTTCCTGTTCTGGAGATTTCACTTACGGGCAAAAAAATATGTGAAAGGTCTGAGGGATAAACCATATTATGAGAGACTGTAGGAACTTAATATATACAGTCTTGAGGAAAGAATTGAAATATTTTATTACATTAAGGGTGTGAATAAAGGTCCAGAGGGCAGGACTTTCAATGTAAAGCTAAGATCAAGAGCACAGGGACATGACCTAAGACTTGGGGGAGGAATGTTCAAAACTAATCCTAGAAAGTATTATTTTGCTAAAATGTAGTCGATGCTCAGAATAGACTTCCAGCAGAAGTAGTGAGTCAGTCAACAGTAACTGACTTTACACATGTTTAGTAGTAAAATAGATCTCTAATTAGATAAAAAGGTAAAAAATATATGTATATAAAAAAAGGGGCAGACCTGACAGACCACTTGGTCATTTTCTGCCATCACTTTTTTTTTTATGTGCAGCACTCAGATGGTACTGAAAAGCAAATGATTAGGTGAAAGATGACTGGGATAAGTACTCTTTGACAAGTTTTTCTCCATGCAGGACCTTCAGTCTGAATCAAGTCCTTCTCGTCCTGTCCGACCTCGTCTTTCCAGAAGTATAACACATACTGAAGGTGGGACTATACATACAGTATATGGTCAGATTTGATAATAACACAGGATAGCTAAAGCTTCATCTATATTTACCAGACTTATCTATAATTGTCCCTTGAAATATGGCAGGTAACACCCACTCCTCGCCATGCAGTGGGTTGCACAGTGGGTTTATATTGACAATTTTAAATTCAGTATTGTTTTGTGAGTGATCCATCTTGCAGATTTTTGTCCCTGAACACCACCTCCAGCCTAGCTCCAAAGTTTAGTTTCTTAAATTAAAAGAAGGGGAGGGGAGGGGATCTTGAAAACGGCAAGGGATGTTACACACCAGGTAGAAAATCCTTGGATTTTTTCAATAAGGGCTTCAGCATTGGGCATAAAATACATTTCAGCCATCAATGTAAGTAAATAGATAATTTAATTTTTAAATTGTATAAATCTAGTTATCTATTGGATTTGGTTCATTTTACAGTTAGATATTAAATTGCACTTACATTTGAAAAATTATACACTTTTCCATAGAAAGTCTAAACAAACCCATAGCTGGTTCGATTTGGCAGCCATTTTACCCAGAGGTATACTTATATTGCTTTAAAGCCACAAACATTAGCTCTTTGTTCTCATTTCAGAAGATCAACCAGATGTTTCTAAATTCTCTCCCACACGAAGGAGACCCCCACGTTTAGGAGACTGTAAAGCCACATCTGCTGGAAAAACAGGTGAGTTTTTTATTTTCTTTTTCCGCTTATATTCTTGCTTGGAATATAGACCATTGTTCTAGTTCAGTTTGGGGTTACTTAGAAAAAGCTGTTGAGTGGAAAAATGTATCTTTATAATACAATTTCAAATGGTCTGGATGTGAAAGAGAAATTAGTAGACAAACCTAAGGACATGTTGTTCATTACTAAATTTAATGATCAACACTGGGCATTAAAAAAGACCGTTGAGAAACATTGGCCCATTTTGAAATAAGACCCAGCGCTTTGTGGGATGCTTCCAGATAGGTCCAAAGTTGTGTTTAGGCGGGCTAACAATGTTAAAAGCATTGTCTCCCTAAGTCGTATTATAGATAAACCACATAGGGTGAAAGATACTACCACATTTTTTAATATAACAGGATCCTTTAAATGCAAGTCTAATAAAATGTAAAGCTTGCCATTTTATGTCCCATGGGAAAAATACTTTTACAAGGAAAGATGACCAGATGTTCCATATAAAGCAGTTCATAAGTTGCAGCACTCAGTTTGTGTGGTTTACGGATTGAGGTGCCCTTGTGGGTTGTATTATGTGGGCTGTACGGTGTGCACTATGTACACTAGGTTCAGGAAGCACAGACATTTTATAGAACACAGAAAGGATAAACATAATGTTTCCTGACATTTTTCCAGGTATACGGTAGAGGTATAGGGGGCGTAGAGCTCTTTGGTATTGAAGTGATATCCATGGTTGTACGGGGGGGGTTCTCTGAATTGCAACATTCTGGATCTTCACTTTGAATATTATGTCCCCTGATGGACTAACTGAGGAACTGGAGATCAATGCCTTAATCTAATAACTAAAGTGTTCCTCCACTAAAAAATTAATAGCCATTGGGTGCATATTTTGTATATACAGTAAGGTCCATAAATATTGGGACATCGACACAATTCTAACATTTTTGGCTCTATACACCACCACAATGGATTTGAAATGAAACGAACAAGATGTGCTTTAACTGCAGACTGTCAGCTTTAATTTGAGGGTATTTACATCCAAATCAGATGAACGGTGTAGGAATTACAACAGTTTGCATATGTGCCTCCCACTTGTTAAGGGACCAAAAGTAATGGGACAGAATAATCATAAATCAAACTTTCACTTTTTAATACTTGGTTGCAAATCCTTTGCAGTCAATTACAGCCTGAAGTCTGGAACGCATAGACATCACCAGACGCTGGGTTTCATCCCTGGAGATGCTCTGCCAGGCCTCTACTGCAACTGTCTTCAGTTCCTGCTTGTTCTTGGGGCATTTTCCCTTCAGTTTTGTCTTCAGCAAGTGAAATGCATGCTCAATCGGATTCAGGTCAGGTGATTGACTTGGCCATTGCATAACATTCCACTTCTTTCCCTTAAAAAACTCTTTGGTTGCTTTTGCAGTATGCTTTGGGTCATTGTCCATCTGCACTGTGAAGTGGCGTCCAATGAGTTCTGAAGCATTTGGCTGAATATGAGCAGATAATATTGCCCGAAACACTTCAGAATTCATCCTGCTGCTTTTGTCAGCAGTCACATGATCAATAAATACAAGAGAAGCAGTTCCATTGGCAGCCATACATGCCCACACCATGACACTACCACCACCATGCTTCACTGATGAGGTGGTATGCTTAGGATCATGAGCAGTTCCTTTCCTTCTCCATACTCTTCTCTTCCCATCACTCTGGTACAAGTTGATCTTGGTCTCACCTGTCCATAGGATGTTGTTCCAGAACTGTGAAGGCTTTTTTAGATGTCGTTTGGCAAACTCTAATCTGGCCTTCCTGTTTTTGAGGCTAACCAATGGTTTCCATCTTGTGGTGAACCCTCTGTATTCACTCTGGTGAAGTCTTCTCTTGATTGTTGACTTTGACACACATACACCTACCTCCTGGAGAGTGTTCTTGATCTGGCCAACTGTTGTGAAGGGTGTTTTCTTCACCAGGGAAAGAATTCTTCGGTCATCCACCACAGTTGTTTTCCGTGGTCTTCCGGGTCTTTTGGAGTTGCTGAGCTCACCGGTGCATTCCTTCCTTCTTTTTAAGAATGTTCCAAACAGTTGTTTTGGCCACGCCTAATGTTTTTGCTATCTCTCTGATGGGTTTGTTTTTTCAGCCTAATGATGGCTTGCTTCACTGATAGTGACAGCTCTTTGGATCTCATCTTGAGAGTTGACAGCAACAGATTCCAAATGCAAATAGCACACTTGAAATGAAACTCTGGACCTTTTATCTGCTCATTGTACTTGGGATAATGAGGGAATAACACACACCTGGCCATGGAATAGCTGAGAAGCCAATTGTCCCATTACTATTGGTCCCTTAACAAGTGGGAGGCACATATGCAAACTGTTGTAATTCCTACACCGTTCACCTGATTTGGATGTAAATAACCTCAAATTAAAGCTGACAGTCTGCAGTTAAAGCACATCTTGTTCGTTTCATTTTAAATCCATTGTGGCGGTTTATAGAGCCAAAAATGTTAGAATTGTGTCGATGTCCCAATATTTATGGACCTGACTGTACATGTGTATATGTATACTAACCATATGGCAGTACCCAACAGCCTAGATCCTCAGTCATATGTGGATAGTTTTGAATTTGAGCCTTTTTTAATCATTAAAATTTGTTATTTATTATATTTTGCTTTTTTAAATGTATTATCTTATTTTTATTCTTATTGCTATGTTTTGAAATTGAAGTTAGTGGAAAGAGATCTTTTAATTAGCATTATGCTGTGAATATTTTAAGGTAACTTTGGTATATATATATATATATATATATATATATATATATATATATATATACAGTCAGTCAGGTCCATAAATATTGGGACATGGACACAATTCTAACATTTTTGGCTCTATACACCACCACAATGGATTTGAAATGAAACGAACAAGACGTGCTTTAACTGCAGACTGTCAGCTTTAATTTGAGGGTATTTACATCCAAATCAGGTGAACGGTGTAGTAATTACAACAGTTTGCATATGTGCCTCCCACATTTTAAGGGACCAAAGTAATGGGACAGAATAATAATCATAAATCAAACTTTCACTTTTTAATACTTGGTTGCAAATCCTTTGCAGTCAATTACAGCCTGAAGTCTGGAACGCATAGACATCACCAGATGCTGGGTTTCATCCCTGGAGATGCTCTGCCAGGCCTCTACTGCAACTGTCTTCAGTTCCTGCTTGTTCTTGGGGCATTTTCCCTTCAGTTTTGTCTTCAGCAAGTGAAATGCATGCTCAATCGGATTCAGGTCAGGTGATTGACTTGGGCATTGCATAACATTCCACTTCTTTCCCTTAAAAAACTCTTTGGTTGCTTTTGCAGTATGCTTTGGGTCATTGTCCATCTGCACTGTGAAGCGGCGTCCAATGAGTTCTGAAGCATTTGGCTGACTATGAGCAGATAATATTGCCCGAAACACTTCAGAATTCATCCTGCTGCTTTTGTCAGCAGTCACATCATCAATAAATACAAGAGAACCAGTTCCATTGGCAGCCATACATGCCCACGCCATGACACTACCACCACCATGCTTCACTGATGAGGTGGTATGCTTAGGATCATGAGCAGTTCCTTTCCTTCTCCATACTCTTCTCTTCCCATCACTCTGGTACAAGTTGATCTTGGTCTCATCTGTCCATAGGATGTTGTTCCAGAACTGTGAAGGCTTTTTTAGATGTCGTTTGGCAAACTCTAATCTGGCCTTCCTGTTTTTGAGGCTCACCAATGGTTTCCATCTTGTGGTGAACCCTCTGTATTCACTCTGGTGAAGTCTTCTCTTGATTGTTGATTTTGACACACATACACCTACCTCCTGGAGAGTGTTCTTGATCTGGCCAACTGTTGTGAAGGGTGTTTTCTTCACCAGGGAAAGAATTCTTCGGTCATCCACCACAGTTGTTTTCTGTGGTCTTCCGGGTCTTTTGGTGTTGCTGAGCTCACCAGTGCATTCCTTCTTTTTAAGAATGTTCCAAACAGTTGTTTTGGCCACGCCTAATGTTTTTGCTATCTCTCTGATGGGTTTGTTTTGTTTTTTCAGCCTGATGATGGCTTGCTTCACTGATAGTGACAGCTCTTTGGATCTCATCTTGAAAGTTGACAGCAACAGATTCCAAATGCAAATAGCACACTTGAAATGAACTCTGGACCTTTTATCTGCTCATTGTAATTGGGATAATGAGGGAATAACACACACCTGGCTATGGAACAGCTGAGAAGCCAATTGTCCCATTACTTTTGGTCCCTTAAGAAGTGGGAAGCACATATGCAAACTGTTGTAATTCCTACACCGTTCACCTGATTTGGATGTAAATACCCTCAAATTAAAGCTGACCGTCTGCAGTTAAACCACATCTTGTTCGTTTCATTTCAAATCCATTGTGGTGGTGTATAGGGCCAAAAATGTTAGAATTGTGTTGATGTCCCATTATTTATGGACCTGACTGTATATATTTAATGTAATTTTGAATTTTGTCCCATTACCTATTATTTGTATGAATTAGCCCTTACCGGTGTGGTCCCTTTAGCATCTGGACTTGAGAAGGAGCTTCCGTTCCCTATATACCGGTAGATCCTGATAGAGAGGGAGTGGGCGGGGGACTTGATAATGGAGGCAACGCCTCTGAAATACGTCATCATAGCAACCATGACGTGTGTCTCTGCCTTGACATGCTTCATTTTCATCTGGTAAATGTGAGTGCATTGGATGAAGGTTTTTATATTGTTACTTCAATAAACTGTACTACACTAGGGTGGATGTGCATTCTTTCTCTTTAGTGTTTCAACAATAAAAAGCTGACATAGGCTCTAGCATTCCTCTATGTAACTCAAAAAAGCATTCTGTCTGTGTTACCGTTAGACAGGTTTCCCCTCACTTCCTGTCCTAGGGACAACCTTTGCCGGACAGGGAATAAAGGAATCTTTCCAAGGAAGTCTACATTGACTTTAAAACCTTACAGGACTTCTAATCCTTCTTCACTCTATCAAAAAAAAAATAAAGGTTGAGTATAGATATACCTTAACCACTTTACTACAGGGGAAATTCTTCTTTTTTTTTTTTTTTTTTTTTAACAATCTGCATTTTTTGCTAGAAATTTACTTGAAACTCTCAAACAATTAAATATTTTTTGAAACATAGGCCCTGTAGAATAAAATGGTGGCAGTTTAAATTTTTTATGTTGCCTGATATTTGTGCAACTGCTTATCAAATATATATTCCCAGGAAAAGATACATGAAAATTAATTTTAGTGCACGCAAACACAATACAATACCCAATGTTTTGTAAAACATAAACGATTAGGTTTTTTTGACTAAATAGATTCCAAACATGTAAAGCCTTAAAATGTGCTCATTCATGAAATGGTGAAAAACGACAGTACCTGAAATTGTCAATAGGCAACGCTTCAAAAATCTCTACAGGTCATCCATTTAGAGTTAATTATGAATTCTGGCCTTAATAATTACTGTTCTCACTGCAACGTTCAAGGAGATACCTAACATGTATGACACAATTGCTCTTTATATAGCATGCCCCTTTTTTTATCATTAACTTTATCATCACAAAGAAAAAAACATTCCCCTCTTCGATAGCCTTGGAAAGTGACAGTTTCTTGTTATGAAGGCATCTTGGGTCTATTAGACCCCTAATGTCTCCTCTGCCCTCCAATCCAGCTTATCACGAATTTGACTGTAGTTGATCAACTGTTTACCTGGCATTTCAGGATGGGATTTTGACAGCTCTGAACCTGGTTACTTGGTAGTTGACATAGGCTCAAATAAAGCTTTATGCAGGTTTGTCTTTTGTTATTATTCCGTAAATTATACGTTTGTTGTGCAGGTTTCTGGAGGTCTCTGGATTGTGAATTAGAACAGAGTCGTGTGGGAAAGTCTCCAGTATCACCCTCAAATGAGGTGAGCCACTGCTGACACTTGGATATCTCATCACTGTCTTTGTTGTATGAAATATAATGCTGATTAGCTGTACTTTGGTCATGAATTGTGAGAGTGTTGTATGCTAACATTTAACACAACAGGAGATACTTTTCTGGGAGTCTGAAGATAATATGCAGAAGCTGCTGGAGAATGGAAAGAAACAGCTTGCCAAGCAAATGGACCTGGAAGTAAGTGGTCTACCTACTGTAATTATTCTGACTCCAGTAATTGTAATAGTGACTTACTGTATCCCTTCCTCAGACCTCGATGGCTGGCCTGAAGGTAGCAGAGACAACCACTGCAGACAACTGTCATCAGATAGTTGAACTCACCAAACACTTGGCATTCACAAATATCTTTATCGAATGTTAGAGTTGAGGCACCAATATGATTCAGTAGATGTTGGCATTTGAAGTGTTTGAAGGTCAAAAGGAATATCTTTCCAATTGTAATTCAAAAGATAACAACATCTGCTCTGCCAAGGAAGAGATGTAACAGCAGGGATTACATCAGATCATCTCCTCTCTCTCTGCAGTAAAAGGAAACTACAGTTCCCATCAACCACACGGAATTGTAGTGAATGTGGGCGGGTACACTAGGCCTGAGAGTCTCAGTCTGCCCACCACTGGAAGTGGGACTGAATTACATCATTTCTTCCAGGAAAAAGACCTACAGGAGGGATGTGCCAAGACCAGTGGCCGGGGGAATAGGAGGCATAGCAGCCACTGGTCTTATAAACAGGAAACCAAAGAGACCGTTTGATTTGAAAATGAATAGGCTATTTCAGAGCAACTACTGAGTGAAACAGAAGAATTTAAAGTATGGAACCTGCAACAAAAACATGTAAAGTCATTTTTGCCCAGGGTTCTGCTTTTAAGTTTTGTATAGCGTGAGAAAAAGATTTCAGCCATGTTTTAAATGCTGTCTTGTAATGATCGGGGAGAGTGCTTTCAGCTTCCTGTTCTGTCTGGTATTGGTTATAGGAAGCATCACATATCTTATTGTGAATAAATAGAAGTGGATTTTAAAACAATATTTTGGTGTGCAGGTGGTTTGTTAATTACACCTCCAGAAAGACGTCATCTGGCTCTATCACCCTAACACTCATGATCAAATAGGTCAATTGCCACAAGGAGCACAGCTTTTGACAGAAGTTATGACCCTTTATGACCCCAGTAAAAAAAAAAAAAAAAAGTTTTATTGCTGTCAGTGCCCTCTTTGGGGAGATTCCACCTAACTTCCTGTTCTTGCTAATAGCCATCAAATAAAAAGTTATCAGGATCTCTTTCTAACTTTTATATGGTTTGTGGAGTTGGACTTTAACACAAAATGTTTATGTTGCAGGATCTGTCTTTGCTTGAGAACAAACTTACTCTTCATCACGTAAAGGCCGAGACAGTAATTGCCCGGAAGGGCGACCATGTAAGTAGAAGATGTGAAGGAACACAGCATTTAATCTATTGTACTTTGTACATTGTACAATTAATCCATTGTCCTGTTTATGACAGTGTTTGAAGAGCTGCTCTAATGCTCATAGCAACCAATCAATTCTTTCCATTCATTCTCCCATGCTGCACTGGAAAAAGAGAAGGAAAAATCTTAGTGATTTCCATGGGTGACAATAGGTTTTTCCTACTTTGATAAAATTCCTTATTCTAAACTTTCCCATCTCTCATGACCTCTCTTTTTTCCTCTCAGGATGTTGGACTGCATTTTGTGCTCTCAGGCCGTCTTCATGTCTATCAGGGGGTGATGGGGAAAGAGGACTCCTGCATCTTTGTGACTGCTCCCGGAGAAATGATTGGACAGCTGACAGTTCTCACTGGGGAGCCTCTGATCTTCACAATCAGAGCTGTGCGGGACAGCTCCTTCCTGTGCCTGAGCCGCACTCACTTCTACCAGTAGGTCTCTCTGTACTCTCTCAGATACCTCTGCTTATTTGTCTCCGATAATTTTTTTTCGTGCATTGTTTAAAGGGCCCCTAAACACACAATACACGTAATGTATTATTATAATTTATATTGTAGGCAGTATAGTGCAGAGTAATATTTTTCAAGATATAGTTGACATCTTTCTAGTAATCCCACAGACCGTGGTATCTTTCTTAAATATATGATTTTATTTGCTTTTAACATTTGATTTTGAAATTAATGTAATGTCCAAAATGAAAAGCACATTCACTGTTAGAATTTCGTTCATTTGGAAAAAAAAATTCCATCCTGCTGGGAAACATTTTCCATCCTGTTCTTTTGAATTTTCTTGTCACTGTGGTTGAAAAAAAACACTGATTTGACCCCACTAATGATTGGAAAATCAAACAAATGTTCTTAAGATGAAAATTTTGAAAGATTACTGGCGTATATTCAGCTGCAAATAGCTGCTAACAGGTGCTCTGAAAAAGATTCAACTACAGTATATGTTTAGCGAATGTTACATTTACTGCTTTATAAATACATATGTCATTTGACATAATTTACATTTATGAGCTTGGCTTTAAAATGTAATGTGTCCAAAATATTTACAAAGGCTGAAAATTGCATGAAAAATTTGTAGATTGTGTTAAGATCAATTAATTCTTTAATGGCAACCAAAATCTAACTAGTATCATATTTGTTAATGTTGTTAATTAGAGATGAGCGAATTATTCAAAAATTCGGTTCGGCTGATTCGCCGAATTCGCCGAAAAAATTCGATTCGATCCGAATATATTCGCCGCGAATTTAACTTATAAAAAGGGTGTTTCTAGGCTTCAGAGAGCCTTTATATTAGTGCAGAACACTGTACCTTTAATTTAAATGCCCTTGGAGTCTGCTGGGGAAGAGAAATAATACTGTCAGTCAGTATGACATGCAGATGAGTGCCGTCGATCTTAGAATCACCGCACACTTCACTCATTTGGGCAGTCACGGGGCCAAAACCAGAGTGTGGAGCCACAGTGTGGCGGTGGAGGCAGCAGCAATGGGAGGCCATACAGCACCCTATGACAAAATGGAACCCACCAGCAGTGTGAGGAGACCTGAAAGTGGCACATGGCAGAGTGTGGCGATGGAGACAGCAGCAATGGGAGGCCGTACAGGGACCCATGACACACTCTGGACCTGGCAGCAGCATGAGGAGGCGGTACAGGGGCCCATGACAGATTACGGGCCTGGCAGCAGCATGAGGAGTCGGTACGGGGGCCCATGGCAGATTACGGGCCTGGCAGCAGCATGAGGAGGCGGTACAGGGGCCCATGGCAGAGTGGCGGAGCGTAAGCAGCTAAAATTGAAGGCCATACAGAGGCCTATGTTAAAAAGTCCCCCCCAGCAGCAGCGTGGGGAGATGACTATCAAGAGTCCAATGGCAGAGTGGCGGAGCAGAAGCAGCTTCAATTGAAGGCCATACACAGGCCTAGGTTAAAAAGCGGAAGCCGTCAGCAGCGTGAGCAGACGACAGAGACACATGGCGCAGGGTGGCGGTGGATGCAGCAGTATTCGGAAGCCAAACACAGGCCTCGGTTAAAAAGCGGAAGCCGTCAGCAGCGTGAGCAGACGACAGAGGCACATGGCGCAGGGTGGCGGTGGACCGGCAGCAGTATTCGGAAGCCATACACAGGCCTAGGTTAAAAAGCGGAAGCCGTCAGCAGCGTGAGCAGACGACAGAGGCACATGGCGCAGGGTGGCGGTGGATGCAGCAGTATTCGGAAGCCATACACAGGCCTAGGTTTAAAACTGGAACCCAGCAGCGTGAGCAGACGACAGAGGCACATGGCGCAGGGTGGCGGTGGAGGCAGCAGCAATGGAAGGCCATACAGCACCCTATCACAAAATGGAACCCACCAACAGTGTAAGGAGACCTGAAAGTGGCACATGGCGCAGGGTGGCGGTGGAGGCAGCAGTATTCGGAAGACATACACAGGACTAGTTTAAAAAGCGGAAGCCGTCAGCAGCGTGAGCAGACGACAGAGGCACATGGCGCAGGGTGGCGGTGGAGGCAGCAGTATTCGGAAGCCATACACAGGCCTAGGTTAAAAAGCGGAAGCCGTCAGCAGCGTGAGCAGACGACAGAGACACATGGCGCAGGTGGCGGTGGATGCAGCAGTATTCGGAAGCCAAACACAGGCCTCGGTTAAAAAGCGGAAGCCGTCAGCAGCGTGAGCAGACGACAGAGGCACATGGCGCAGGGTGGCGGTGGAGGCAGCAGCAATGGAAGGCCATACAGCACCCTATCACAAAATGGAACCCACCAACAGTGTAAGGAGACCTGAAAGTGGCACATGGCGCAGGGTGGCGGTGGAGGCAGCAGTATTCGGAAGACATATACAGGACTATTTTAAAAAGCGGAAGCCGTCAGCAGCGTGAGCAGACGACAGAGGCACATGGCGCAGGGTGGCGGTGGAGGCAGCAGCAATGGAAGGCCATACAGCACCCTATCACAAAATGGAACCCACCAACAGTGTAAGGAGACCTGAAAGTGGCACATGGCGCAGGGTGGCGGTGTAGGCAGCAGTATTCGGAAGCCATACACAGGCCTAGGTTAAAAAGCGGAAGCCGTCAGCAGCGTGAGCAGACGACAGAGGCACATGGGCGCAGGGTGGCGGTGGAGGCAGCAGTATTCGGAAGCCAAACACAGGCCTCGGTTAAAAAGCGGAAGCCGTCAGCAGCGTGAGCAGACGACAGAGGCACATGGCGCAGGGAGGCGGTGGAGGCAGCAGCAATGGAAGGCCATACAGCACCCTATCACAAAATGGAACCCACCAACAGTGTAAGGAGACCTGAAAGTGGCACATGGCGCAGGGTGGCGGTGGAGGCAGCAGTATTCGGAAGCCATACACAGGCCTAGGTTAAAAAGCGGAAGCCGTCAGCAGCGTGAGCAGACGACAAAGACACATGGCGCAGGGTGGCGGTGGATGCAGCAGTATTCGGAAGCCAAACACAGGCCTCGGTTAAAAAGCGGAAGCCGTCAGCAGCGTGAGCAGACGACAGAGGCACATGGCGCAGGGTGGCGGTGGAGGCAGCAGCAATGGAAGGCCATACAGCACCCTATAACAAAATGGAACCCACCAACAGTGTAAGGAGACCTGAAAGTGGCACATGGCAGAGTGTGGCGATGGAGACAGCAGCAATGGGAGGCCGTACAGGGACCGATGACACACTCTGGACCTGGCAGCAGCATGAGGAGTCGGTACGGGGGCCCATGGCAGATTACGGGCCTGGCAGCAGCATGAGGAGGCGGTACAGGGGCCCATGGCAGAGTGGCGGAGCGTAAGCAGCTAAAATTGAAGGCCATACAGAGGCCTATGTTGAAAAGTCCCCCCAGCAGCAGCGTGGGGAGACGACTAATAGTCGTCTCCCCACGCTGCTGCTGGGGGGACTTTTTAACATAGGCCTCTGTATGGCCTTCAATTTAAGCTGCTTACGCTTCGCCACTCTGCCATGGGCCCCTGTACCGCCTCCTCTTGCTGCTGCCAGGTCCAGATTGTGTCATGGGTCCCTGTACGGCCTCCCATTGCTGCTGACTTCATCGCCAGACTCTGCCATGTGCCACTTTCAGGTCTCCTTACACTGTTGGTGGGTTCCTTTTGTGATAGGGTGCTGTATGGCCTTCCATTGCTGCTGCCTCCACCGCCACCCTGCGCCATGTGCCTCTGTCGTCTGCTCACGCTGCTGACGGCTTCCGCTTTTTAACCGAGGCCTGTGTTTGGCTTCCGAATACTGCTGCATCCACCGCCACCCTGCGCCATGTGTCTCTGTCGTCTGCTCACGCTGCTGACGGCTTCCGCTTTTTAACCTAGGCCTGTGTATGGCTTCAGAATAATGCTGCCTACATCGCCACCCTGCGCCATGTGCCTCTGTCGTCTGCTCACGCTGCTGCCAGGTCCATACTGATTCATGGCCCCCTGTACCGGCTCCTCATGAACGTGGTTCAGCGGGTTTGCATCACTTAATGGCAAATCGTTGACAAACGCTGGGACGTTCAGTGTTTTGCGCATTAAGCCAGACACCAAAGGGCAGCACAGACCTGTTATTACTCGCTCAAGCATGGCTGAACAAAACCAGTCTCTACCACAAATTGGACCCAGACCTGCCCAGGGTCTCGTAAGTAGATTGCACGGAGGAGTAGAGTTCGTTATTGGAATTAACTGTGAGGGACTTTTAAACCTAGGCCTGTGTATGGCCTTCAATTGAAGCTGCTTCTGCTCCGCCATTCTGCCATTGGACTCTTGATAGTCGACGACTATCAAGAGTCCAATAGCAGAGTGGCGGAGCAGAAGCAGCTTCAATTGAAGGCCATACACAGGTCTAGGTTTAAAAGTCCCTCACAGTTAATTCCAATAACGAACTCTACTCCTCCGTGCAATCTACTTACGAGACCCTGGGCAGGTCTGGGTCCAATTTGTGGTAGAGACTGGTTTTGTTCAGCCATGCTTGAGCGAGTAATAACAGGTCTGTGCTGCCCTTTGGTGTCTGGTTTAATGCGCACAACGCTGAACGTCCCAGCGTTTGTCAACGATTTGCCATTAAGTGATGCAAACCCGCTGAACCACGTTCATGAGGAGCCGGTACAGGGGGCCATGAATCAGTATGGACCTGGTAGCAGCGTGAGCAGACGACAGAGGCACATGGCGCAGGGTGGCGGTGGAGGCAGCAGCAATGGAAGGCCATACAGCACCCTATCACAAAATGGAACCCACCAACAGTGTAAGGAGACCTGAAAGTGGCACATGGCAGAGTCTGGCGATGAAGTCAGCAGCAATGGGAGGCCGTACAGGGACCCATGACACACTCTGGACCTGGCAGCAGCAAGAGGAGGCGGTACAGGGGCCCATGGCAGAGTGGCGAAGCGTAAGCAGCTTAAATTGAAGGCCATACAGAGGCCTATGTTAAAAATAATAACATGTTTGGGGCATGATTCATGGCGG